TGTAATCACGTCATGTTGGCGGTGAAGAGGGTTACTAAAACTAATAACATGAGGACCCGAGACAACCCTTTTGCCTCTTGCGGCAACTAAACAGTCCAGACTACACTACCAAGGCCAAAAAGTTCAGTGAGCAGCGCGGTGCATGAGGCTAGTTCCTGTCTTGCCCGAATCATCGCTTATTCGGTGCAGGTTGAGCTTGTGCAGGGACGGTGCCCTGGCTGGGTGCTCATGTCTCGGAAAACACACACCCCCGCGCAGTCCGCCGTCTGACATGCTTATCTAGTCTGCATTCTCCTGCGATTTAGACTTTCCGGCCGCCGATGAGGACAAACGATCAACCTGCCGGACTCAGGAGAGCAGGCATGAGAGGGATAAAGAAAAAAAACCAAGCGTTAGACTCTAGGCGTTAATGCCGATCTTAGGTCGTGGTGTAGTCTGAACTCTATCTCGGTCACGTCCTTAGTGATAAGGTTTGATTTCGCTCACCGCTACAAAAACACTTCGCATTCCCGACCAGGGTAGCCGGCAAACCTTCTTACATTTTTTACTTGTTCCTTAGTAACGGCGTTGGCTTCATTTCCGGAATTTGTCGTCCGCCTTCGGGCCCTCCAGATAATGCCGACGAAAGGGATGGCCAACTCATGACATCGATGGCGTTCTGCTCTCGGGATGCACTCTGCTGGTGCTCTTTGGAAACCCCTTGACATCAATGGCGCCCTGCCCTCGGGACGCGCTCCGTTGGAGCTCATTGGAAATCCCTTGACCCCAGCTAGCTCGGCGGAGACAGTGCCGCCCAGCCTGCGGCCTTCGTATGCTAGCGCCAGAAACAATGACCCGAAAAAGAAACTCCGGACATTCTCTCAAACTCCGTGACCTCAAACTCCGTGACTGCCGAGCCAGTCAACTCCGGGCTGCCCAACCTCCCGGGCGGCCCAGGTACCGGGTTCTTCATGTTCAGCATGTAGGCATCATGGATGAAGGAACAGGCGGCACGCAACCCATGAGCTTGCAAGTTTGCAATGGAGCTTGCGCCTCTTGGCATCTATCGCGTCTATTTCCCTTTATCTGATAGTCGTACAGTCTATGTGTGGAGTGTACAGTCACAACGCATTCGTACACCGGTGGCACCCACGGCCCTTGTCTCGAAATGCCGAGACGAAGCTTAGTCCAGACACTCACTTCTTGGCTTCCGTCACGGCCTTCGCGGCGCCCTTTGCGCCCTTGAGGGGCCTCTTGCCAATCTGCCATCCCCACGACCTCAGCACCTTGACGACCTTGGGCAGGATGGCGGCCGTCAGGGGTATCCGGATGAAAATAAAGCTCTTGTGGATGGCATATGCCAGAGCGAGTTGAGTAGCCAGACCTGACAAGTTGATGACCGCGTTAGTCTCCGAACTGCAGAACGCCACCTCCAGGATCACATATTACACAACAAAAAATCATACGAGGACGGTGACTTACTGGCTTCCGTCTTGTTCTTCTCCTCCGCCTCCGCAACGCCCCAGCCGGCCATCTCGACGTCGTGGGTCACTCCCTCTCCCAGGTTCTCCTTCGCACCCTTCTTCAGCGCGCTCTTGTATTCGTCATACCACTGCTTGAGCCCCTCGGGGATGACCTTCTGGACGTTAGACACAACGTAGTGCTCCGCGTCAGCGATCTTATCCGTCCCGATGGTCCGCACCAGCAAGAAGCAGAACGGGAAGTCCAGCACGCTCAGGGTGAGGTATACGCCGACAGCCGACCAGCCGTACTCGCGAGACAGCTTCTTCAAGCGCTGTCTCAGGGTCAGGGGTCCCTCTGGTATGCTCTCTTTGCCCTCCGCGGCCGGGCCCTTTCTTTCGGCGGATCTGCGAGCTTTCGAGGAGTGGAAGGACCTCTTGGGGGAGGACCTCCATCGTAAAGGAGATTTAAACTGGGAATACGCTCGTGCTTCGGATCGAGTCTGCTGTGCCATTCTGTGGTGCCATGGTGCAGAGATGTTGGTGTTGCCGCCCTTCGACGACATCTGGCGAGCCCATAATTGCCTCCCTAACGCCCTGTTTGGAGTGGTGATTTGTCTTGACGCTGTCATCCTCCCGGACACCGCAAGGGCGTCAAAAGTGCCCCCAAGCGCACGTCGAATCATTGCCTCCATTGTTGATATCGTCACACACTCGTCTGATCCCGGCACTGTATATTTCCTTCGAAGTGCCTGGTTACGTCGGAGAAGCAGTCGTCGTCGCTGATGTTGGGGCCTCCGGTGCGGCGCAGACGAACGGGCAGATGTCTTGCCCGTAAACTCCGCTGCGTCCGAGGACAATAAACCACGGAGACGGCGGCTGGCGGATGAATGCGGTCGGCTGTTCGAATGATCAGTGATGATATATCAAGAAGTGATCGGGCTGAGAGCTACCAATGTTGATGAGTATCTTCTCGTTGTCGTAATCCTGAGGTGATCATGAGAGCCGAATTTTCGTGAAGCTTCAAAACCAAGCTCATGTGGAGTGACCTCATCCTGGCTTTCCGAAAGCAACCACCCGATGAGCGGCGGCAGCCGATTGGACCAATTCAATGAGCGGGTCGTTTGGTCTCAACTGCCGGCCGTTGCCAACTGCCAGATCCTGTCGAGACAGGCTAACAGCTGCCATGTCGATGCTGTTATCTCAATTGTTCTTTCAATAAGATTCCTTCTTCTTTGCATCAGCTATTTGGAAATACATATCCACGTACTGCCTTTCGCCGCGGGACGGTATCGACGCTCTTGGAATCGAGGCTAAGACGGCCTTGGCCAGCCAATGACGCGGCACGCTCTCTAAGCGCCGCCATGTCGCGCCAGATGAAGTTGGCTTTTGAGGTCCAGACGGCCACGGTTTGGCGCTCTGCACCCTGGCCATTGATCGTCGGCACGAGCTTCTGATTGGGCGCGGATGCTTGCCCAGAACTCTCGATTTAGACACAGGGTAATGGGCACGGGATGTTGGAGCTGTGCTACCCTGAATCCTACCTCAAGACATTGATCTTCTGCTTTCCTCAAGCGAGGAAAGACAGTTCTCCTGTTTCTCCTGTTTCTTCTTTTCAGTGTCAACCTCAAACCGTTGAACTCGCGATTCCAGACTCATCCCCAGCCTTCATCCAGCGACCAGTGTGCTCTAGGACCGTGATCATCCACGCGGGGTTACTTCCGAGCTTCCCATATAAGCAGCGGGGTGGGTATAAGCCAGCACAGCTCCCAAATCTCACCCGCCTTCATCAGGAGCTCACTCCGAGCGCAACTCAGCTCAGCCTTCAGCCTGTTCTGTCTTGAAGTGCGCTATCCAGTCAAAATGTCGGCCTCGTATTATCCTCCACCGCCTGGTGCTGGAGCTCAAGGTAAGAATGGCGTGCACATCGCAGAGTTCGCATACAGCAAGACTGACATGTGAATCTCGCCAGGTCCTCAGCAGAAGAGCTACCCGCCTCCACCTCAGTCTCCTCCGGCGACGCAGACCAAGTTCTCCTATCCATCACCGCCGGGAGCGGCGCAAGCGAAGACATATACCCCTCCGCCTGGCGCAAACCCAACACCATCACCGCAGTCGTCAACGCCAACATACGCACCTCCGCCACAGCAACAGCAGTATGGGGCGCCGCCTCAGCAGCAGACGCAACAGCAGTTTGCGCCTCCTCCCCAGCAGATGAGCCTTCCCAGCCACATGCGCACGCCCTCGAGCGTATCGCAGTCGTCGCAAGAGCAACAACGTCAACAGCAGCAGCACCCGCAGTTCGCAGCCCCGCCCACATACCCTTCGGACGACGACGACGATGGCCACTACCCGCAGGAGAAGTCCCCGATGGACACGAGCAACCCGGCCAATCTCGATGCGGGCGCTCCACCGGCTGGTCACTTCACGGGCGCTCAAGCCACGGTTGATGACGTAGGAACCTTTAATGGAGGCAGCTACAGGATCAGTCACCGCGACAGCAACACCATTCTCACGGTTCAGTTGGCGCCCGGATGCCCCCTGTCTGCAAGGCCTGGTAAGTCTCCCCCCAGCTAACTTCAAGATACCACCTGTACTAATTTGAGCATAAAGGAACCATGATCGCAATGTCCCACACCATAACCCTAAAGGGCACCGTCAAACTCGGCCTCATGAAAATGATCTCGGGCGCCGAGCTGGCGAGCTCGACCTTCACCGGCCCCGGCGAGCTGCTGCTGGCCCCGTACATGCTGGGCGACATCACCAGCATCCGGCTGACGGGCCAGGAGTCCTGGTCCGTCGGGCACGACGGCTTCCTCGCCTGTACGCAGGGCGTGGTCAAGGAGACGAAGCGGCAGGGCCTCAGCAAGGCCATCTTCAGCGGCGAGGGCCTCTGGGTGTACAAGATCTCGGGCGTCGGGCTGATGTGGTTGACTAGTTTTGGTGCGATTATTCGGAAGGATGTGAGTTTGGCCTCCTTCAACTGCCTCGGCGGGTGTGGTGAAGTTCTGATCCTAACGCCGTGGCGAACAGCTCCACGACGGCGAGAAGTACGTCGTCGACAACGGCCACCTGGTGGCGTGGAACACGAAGTACGTCCTCGAGCGCGTCGCGTCCGGCGGTCTCGTTTCGGGACTGGCGTCTGGAGAAGGTCTGGTGTGCAAGTTCACTGGCCCTGGAACCGTTTTCCTGCAGACTAGGAACCCCCGGGCTTTCAGCGCGTTCATGTCGGGCGCCTCTGCCCATGCGATGTGAGACTTGAGTGTCGTATTTCCAGGGCTGGATTTCATTGGACAATTGGGTACCTCGGTTTCGCTTGGGCTTAACATCTTATGAAGCGTTAATGTACAAAATGATTGAATATATATCTACTTGGTTATGCTTCGATAGTGACTTGTCGTCTGGATATAGTTGGCACAAGTCGAACATTGAACTATGCATTCTGCACACTTCTACAGCTGAACAACCGACATCGCTACGTCCTCCAAGACAATCAGCAGTAGTACCAAGGCACACAAAATGGAATAACAAACAACGGCAAAAGCAAAAAGAAAAGATATTCGTCGTGGACAGGATTCGAACCTGCGCGCTCGAAAGCACGGCCTGAGACTGCTTAGATAGCAGGGCCGCCCGTTAACCACTCCGGCACCGCGACTGTTTTGTGTTGTTGTGGTGGAGTAGTCCACTCCAAGACACTATGTATAAGGCGACGGTGGCCCGCTGCTCAACACCCTGGACTACCAGGCGGTCGATACGCAGGGGCACTTCGCCTCAGCTGAACATATACAGTGGGCCAATGGAACAGGAAAGATGACGGTGAAGGATTGCCGTGTCATATGCATCGTGGCGGATGCGGCTTTCGTGGAGAGGGTCGACAGCTGAGCACCCTCGGATGGCGGTGCAGAACGCCATGAACCGGGCCGCTCAAGACGCCTCGGTTAGCTCGCCCACGAGCGCTAAGCGGAAGAGGACGGAGGCGGCGGAGTCCCTGGACTACCTCACATATGAGGGACGAATCCTACCGATTCTCGACCTCCAGGTGGCTATCGCCACAGAGGTGAACGGAGCGATCTCAGATCGCTGCATGTCCAAGAACATCGCCATTAATCAGCTTTCTATCTAAAAGGGCTTTTACTGTCGGTGTCGTTTAAGTCTATTGAAAAGGATTTCCCCACTTCTAGCACGGTTACTGAGTCCGCTGCTAAGGTAGGGTAGAAATGGTCGCTTGAACTTGGGAATTTGTCTTGCCTATAGTTTGAAGGTTATCGGACAATAGCTTTAGTTTTAAGAGGATGACTTGAATAATAAGAAGTCGCACCGATATACTTCGTAGTCTCAGTGCTCAGACCAGAGTGGCTTTGATCTATGTACCCCGCCCCACCTACCCACCAATCACACACACCCCCCAATTGCGCCGCACTCTAAACACTGTTCCTGGGGGCCCACAAATACATGCGCACGGGCCGGGTGGCTGGGCGTGTGTATTTGTGGGATCACAGGAACCAGTGTTATATGAACGCCTGGTTATAGAGACTACCTCAGGTAGTTGTGTCATGTATAAGGAGCTCGGACGGCACCTGTCCTGTGGTAAGAATGCACAACGACAGCTATGTGTTTTGTCTCAAACGTCCCTAACACGTCTGTGTGGGACAGCGTAAGAAGCCAGCCAACATTAACTAGGTAAGGTAGGTGAGCACCAAGACGAGCAAACAAGACACCGACTTCTCTCCCGTCAAAACGTCCACCGAACCCCGTGACGAGACCACGCCGTTCAGTATTGCCAATGGCGGTCAGCTTCCTGTCGGGGACTGTTATGCCCGGGTCCGGATGTGTCGTAGAAGCTGTCTTGGCCCCGTGCAAGTCCCTCTCTCAGATCCTATGTCTAGACAGCAGCGATGCCGAATTGCGGACCGGGGCTGGGCGGACGACTCCCTTCTCCAGGCCGATAGTACTGGACTTGCCTTGTGTAGACGGATCATAGGTGAGCCGTGACAACGTTGATCTACCATGGCCCTGAGCCGAACTCGTGGCTTGTGGTATGTTTGTGGCATTTGGACCGGTCAAGATCGCCGGGTTTGGCGCTAGCGACGGGAGCTAACGCAGTGGCAGAACATGTCGGGCTCCAGGGCTGAAGTTGTTCCTTGTCCTTTTCATTGTTGAAGATTCAAAAGTACTCTCGAAATGGACACGTATCCGGCGTCAAAGAACATATTGGCATTAGGTATACCTATTGATGAGATGGCAGTGCAGAACCTGCAAGTTGCGGTCAGTAAGTGAGAATTGTTGGGCATTCTGGGCTGACAGATCGTATCGATTCGCTGAGCATACGGATGATAAATTCAGTATGACCTGGATGACTCGTCCACGCGGGCCAGGATTGGCAGGTTCTGGCGTGCTCTTCGAAGGGCCTCAGAGGGCTTCCAGGTTGTCTGGTGGGTCAGGGATTAAAATAACCCCAGCTCAACCCCCCTCCAACCCCTGGAAAAGATAGGCGCAAGGACCCGACGTGGCACGATTCCCGGAGGCGATCATGCCAGAAACAGCTCCTCCCGTTGCGCAGGCGGACAGGCGCCGAGCCGCCAGTTTTCTTTGAAATGGCTTGGCGTTGATTGGTCGTTGCGCCATATGCCGTATGACTTGCTCATCTTCTGGGGCGTTGGAGCAGCCTGGAACCCCTGGTGACCAGAACTGGACAGCCAGCCTCGAGCTGAGCTCGGAATGGGCTGCTGGTGCCCTTCCTGAGATGGAATAAATACACCCGTGGCGCCGTCTTCTGTTACAGACCGGTTCTTGGTTTCGTTTCTTCATCTCACTTGTCCTGTTCCTAGCCGTACTTCTGCCCACCAAGCTATATACTGCACTATCAGTCACAATACAAGCCCAACTTCTACAACATACACTACAATGTCGCCCACCTACACCATGTCCGCACACCTGTGCAAGCAAATATACTCCTCCTGGCGCCAAACCCACCCGGAACCTTCCTCTTCCTCGAGGACCGTCAACCTGACGCCCAGCACATACCCTCAGTGCTCTCCGTCGCCGGAGAAGCGGTCCATGGACAGCGACCGGAGCGACACCTCGCCATCACCACCCCTCAGTCGACAGTCAAGCCCCAGCTGGAAGTGGTCTCGGTCCTAGAGGGATTGCAGACTGGAAGTTGACGGGTACGCGCCGAGTTGTCGGGACGGGGTGGGGCCGAGGACCACGGAGCACCGACTTACACATCTACCTTACTTATGAGCAACTATCTCTGTGGTTCGAAGCATGAGTGAAGTATACATTCAGTCTCGACACAACATCTGAGGAAGCCTCACAGTTTACACGACAAGCCGGACGGAACAAGCGTAGGAAACATGGCAATCACAAAACATGGAATCACCAACAACAAGGAACTCCAACTCTCGTCTTCAACCCCACCCCTTTCCGGAACCCGGCTCAGGAATGGGAATCCTTCTCAACCCCCTCCAATGACGCCAAAGCCCGGGCCGACACTCACAACAACTCACCTGAGCACCCCTAGTCTCGCACCATAACAAAACTCCCGTCATGGCCGCCAAGTATGTCGCACTCCAAAACTACGGCGTCGAGCAGACACCTACACGGGTATCGGTTTGGGCAATCAAGAAACAGACAAGGAATTCTTTGAAAGATCGCCCAGCGAAGGGATCGGATGTCGGTCCCCGACACCACTCCACCACATATGGAGACCTGTAATTGGGCACGACACTGGACAGAGGAATAGCACGACTGGAGGAGCCATTCGACAAGCACGAATCAACCGGGTTTCATGGTGGTGGTGGTGGTGGTGCGTGTATGGTGCCATTACCATGCAGCTTGATGTGCGTCTGTGGAGAAAGGGGGGGGAGGTCTGGTCTGCTTTCAAATGCGTTCAGTGCATGTCTTGTCTTTCACTCCCTCAGTCGTCATCCGAGAGACATCAACTGGTGCAAACATGACGTTTTACGGAAATATCGGGTATCGGGTATCGGGGCATCTTACCACGCGTTTTGCAAATAGCATTTACACCTTTATATTTTTGATACCCTCGATTTTATATTAAGTTACTTTTTCCATACATAAGCCAGATAACTACAGAATGTCACATTATCACATTAACACAAACAAAACAAGCTTGTCTACATTAATCACTCGGGTCACTTTCATCCGTCAGTTTCCCCCGGCGGTGGAACCATTTCTCTTGTCCGGGGAGAGGGGTGATGGAGTGCCGGATGACAAGCCGCAACCCCCCCACAGATTGCACCATCACCGGACTTGGCCGCGATGGCCTGATCGGGCCTGGGACGTCCAGGCTAAGTGCTTTCCGGTAGGCTATCACGTACCGGCACGATTGATGCCGCGCCAGAGAAGGCATGTTAGGCATGAGATGGGATGCCCGATGGCTGTATCACAGTTCCGCGATTCGAGGAGGAAGAGTCTAAAGGTATCAGAGAAAAGGGAGTCACGAGGGCAAAAGTAAGAACAGAAGTCCATGCGTGTATCTTCGTCTGTCCAACCCCTTTTTCACGCCCAAACCTGATAGGTAATTTTTGCGTGGTATCTCTTATACCATCTCTCCCCTCCCCTGATTCAACTCTACTTTGGTCGAAAAGGGGAACGTCCTTAGTTGAATAAGATATTCTATCCTGATCGTACAAAACCATGCAATAAGTTTGTCGCTTTCGTAATCGTCATCTCCGTCCCCTGGGCCTGGGCCCGTTTCCCTTTTCTTTGAAAGGAAGAGGAGCGTAATGTGTTGAACTCCCCAATAACCCCAACAGACAGACACCTCTTGGTCGGGGGCGTACGTCTACATGGCCCGAGCCACGCTGCCGGGTAGGGGACCGTCGCTGCCGCTGCTGTCGTCCGACGGCGCGCCGCTGTCCTCCGCGAACCCGCTGCCTTGGATGCGCCGCTTGGCTTCCTTCTTGTCTTCCTCTGTCACGTCGCTGGCGTCCTTGCGCATGTCGGGCGCGTGTTGGGGTTGGTTGGGGGAGTGCCCGATGGACATGCCGGCGCGAATCTGTGGCGGTTATTAACCTGCTTTCTAAAGTGACGGAGTAGTATATAAGTAGGGGCGAACTCACCAAAGTCTCCAACGCGCCCTTGGAGTTATCCACCAAGTCGTCATCAAACATCATCTTCCCCTCCTCGAAGAGCAGCACAATCGTACTGCCTCCGAACTTGAAGTACCCCAACTCCTCAGCCCTCTTCACCCGCTCCCCTTCCTGACGCGTGATAACCGTGCTACCTACCATCATGGCGCCGACACAGATACACATGACCCGCCCGTGCACCTCGCTATCGATCGGCACCACGACTCTGACATTCTCGCCGTACACATCGAGCGCAGACCGGATAGCCATGGGGTTGACGGTGTAGTACTCGCCAGCAATCAACTTGGGCTTGCCCATCACGCCGTCGACAGGGATATGGAAGCGGTGGTAGTCCTGCGGCGCAAGCCTGAAAATGCCCAGCGCGCCCGTCTCGAACCGCTTCACGTCCTCGGGGTAGGCGTCTCCCAACAAGCGCTTGATGCTGAACTCGCGGCCCTTGACCCACACCTTCTGGGCCGTGTCGACGCGGTTGAAGACTACGGAGCGGCAGTCGGCCGGGGACACGATGATATGCGGGTTGTCAGGTGCCGAGGCAGGG